AAATAGATCAGACATAACAATTTTAACATTTTAGCAGCCAAATATGCCCGCTAACCACTGACGGTTTAAGGGATAGCCTCTATACTATCTTCATTGTTTGTGCCAAGAAATTTTCTTGGTCTAACACTATCATCACAAATTTTATATAGGCATTGACCAATATCAGAAGCTTTAAACCCACAATAGTAGGGGGTGGGCCGTCCAAATACTCTGAAAGCTCAGATTGGGTCATGGTATTTTTAGATAACTTTTGAAAGATATACTATATCCTAAACTCATGATATATTGTCCTGAGAAAAAAGTTTAAATAAAAAATAATTATAGAAATTTAAGAGATACCCAATGAGAGGCGAATTTATTTGCCAATATCTTTCTAATGAAGGGAACATATGTGGGCGAGTTTCTGATCGACAAGAGGGATGTAAAATCCATTAGAAAAGGCGTCAGCAAAGCCCCTGCAAACAGTGTGGAAAACCCACTACGTCAATATATAGGATGTGTAATTTACATATAAATAAGTATCATTCAAAAATATATTATTATAGAAAGAAACTAAATGCTTTGAAAAAATCTGTCTTAGTAACCTAGGAAAAATCTGCCCTAGGAAATTTTTGACTTTCAGAGGCAGAAGCAAAATAGCAAATTAACTTTATTAGGTCTCTAGAATAGTTTCTCAAACACTCTGCCCTAGGTGCCCTAGGTGACCTAGAAAAATCAGACTTCTTTACTTTTTATTTTTTATTTTTTATCTATATAGCATATATATAGCATACCTATATATACCAAAAAGATATCATAGCAAAATTTGTTTTTTTTTCTAATACAAGAACAAGTTAAAACGAAAAAAGAGTGCTTTCTCCTATAACAAACTCTGCCTTAGGAAGTGGTCCAGTAAAATTTCTAATATTTTCCTAAAGCAGAACTACAATACGCACACTTTTTGGTAATCAAATAGGTCAGCCATAGTAATGTTATTACAACTCTAATCCTCTAACTACCAGGACCTTGAAAGTGACAAGAAAGTATTCAGAACCCAAGGTGCAGTAAATTTGGTTAATTATGGTTAGCACTATTCCATAATTTCGGCCAGAACTTTGAATATAATAACTTGGCATCCAAACCAGCATAAAAGTAATCCAGAACTGGCATACTGATAGAATCTTTTCTGGTTCCCTACCAGTTTCTTGCCAGTGCCATAATAGTTTTAAACACTATTGGGTCACTATTATAGTGCCAAGTTAGATTCTCAAAATACGTGTTCTAAAGATCAGCCAGAATTATACTATAGTGTTGGGCAAATTTAAAAACAGATTTACTGCACTACCTAACACAATATTTTTTTTACCACATTTTGGTATTTGACAGGCAACCGAATAGATGCAAAAAGATAAGTACCTCAATATAGAATCCAGTACCCAGACTGGCACAAAAGGCCAGCACCCTCAGTATAGAACCAGGCATCCAAACAGGCATAGAAGGCCAGTACCAACAATATAGAATTTAACGTGTAAATGGATTAGGAACAAGAAGGAAATAGCAGTATTTAGATCATTTACTGGTAGTTAGATTAAATAGTGGGTAGTAGTTAGATCGTATGGTGGTAAAATGTAAATATCAAAAAGAATTCAAAGAGATAGCTAGAATATAAAATAGATATCTGATATAGGAAATATATAGATTATATAGTAGTAATTAGATTACATGTTTAGATTATGTAGCATTTATTAGATTATATTATTTAGATCATATAGTGGTGCTTAGATTATATAGTGCTATTCAGACTATAGAGATATCTAGATTATATAATGATATTCAGATTATATAGTGGTATCTAGATTATATAATCTAATCTAAGTGGAATATCACCTGTAATATAATTATATTACAGGTGGTATTCCAATAGTGCCTTGCCAAACACTTCGGTCCTGTTCAATTTTCCGGTTTCCTGATTGATAATCCTTTACATAGTACTATCAAAGATCTGTGCTACCTCTCTACTCAGATCTTGCCAAGCGGGCTTCCATGTGCGCCAACCTCGGATTTACATAACTGCTTCACTTGGGTTTCGTGTAACTCGTATATTATATTATTGTTCCACAGTCTCCCAGTACAAGCTGGTGTGACCTAGTTACAGATGTCGATCTGCCTTTACACTCACAGTTGCCGTAATACTGTATTAAGAATTCGAATTTTCGTTGCGATGGAATTCGAACTCTGTTCTTGCCACTTGAGGGTGCGACAACTTCACCACTTCACTAAGTCGCCACACTCTTCTTCATATATTTTTTTAAACTTTAGATTAAACTTTAATATTATGTAAATTTTTATAAAAGATGTAATAAACTCATTAATACTATTAATAAATTAAAATTAGAGTTTATTATGTTTTTTATAAAAATTTACATAATATTAAAGTTTAATCTAAAGTTTAAAAAAAGAATAAATTTATATATCGCATGTGCGATGTCATCGCACCTATGTAAATCACGTGATATACACTGCGTATAAGAATAATGCATAATGATACCGATATCTAATCTTTACTCTCTTTAGTTATACACAATACGAAAATGGATCTTTTGTATAACTATACATCTGGTTCACTTTTTTTTTTTTATTAATAAGTACAGTACATACGTATACACATACACTTATTGGCTTTGTTTTATTAAGCAGAAGAGAGCACTGAAGGTTAGCATTACGTTCAACTTTGCGTTAGTATAAGTTTGTGAACTTAATAACCAATTTATTGCAGACTTTGAAGAGTGTGAAGCCAACGTTAGAACCACTTTTAGTTTGGGTTTGGGTAAGCATTTACTCAACTTTGTGTTAAATAAGCACAGTACATACGTACGCATACACTTATTGGCTTTGTTTTATTAAGCAGAAGAGAGCACTAAAGGTTAGCATTACATTCAACTTTGTTTTAGTATAAGTTTGTGGACTTAATAACCAATTTATTGCAGACTTTGAAGAGTGTGAAGACAACGCTAGAACCACTTTTAGTTTGGGTTTGGGTAAGTATTTACTTAACTTTGTGTTAGTATAAGCTTCATAGGCTTACAAACAATTTATTGTAAATTTCGAAGGGTATGAAGATAAGGTTGGGCCAGCTCTTAGTTGGCATTTAGGTACATAAACATTATTTTTATTCTGTTACTGGCTATTAAATCTTGATCTAACGGAATAAATTGCTGGGTTAGTAGAAAGTAATAATTGTGTAGATTCAAGTTTAGAAGTAAGTGAAGATATTCGTGAACCTTTAGGTTTAGAATTAGGTAAGTTTTTGGTTCACTTTGTTGTTATTAATAAACTTCGTTATCTAATATAATATATAACTTACAGGAATAGTAAAAGATAATAGTTGTATGGGTTCGAACGTAAGTGAAGTTAATACTGGATCTACTTTTGGTCTGGAATTAGGTTAGTATTATATTCATTCTGTTGTTAGTCATAAACTTAGTGATCTAATACTATTTTTTTTTTTTTGTAGAATTGGAAGGTGGTATGGATCCGGAAGTAAGTGAAGATAATTCTGGGCCTGTCTTGGGGCTTGAATTAGGTTAGTATTTATTTAACTCGATATTAGTTACAAACTTGATGGT